ATAACACTCTTCAGAAGCAAAAGAATCTATAAAATGTATCCACCTAATAATGTTTCCATGAGCTGGGACACACTAACAGTCACTCAAGCCACCCACACAGTGCCGTGCTCAAGGTGGTATTTCGGTATTATATTTAACAGCCATGATGCTGAAGAGCTCCTGGTAATTATCATTACTGAACACTTTGCTCTTCATCTTTCAGCCAAATATTGTTGTATGAAAATGGGGCGCATTTAACAGCCTCAGTGCTACTGCCATGTACTGACAAGTTCGGTTCATTCCCAACCTTTTAATGAAGAAACCCAGGTTATACAAAGGAGGTAGCAATGCCAGGACCTGCCTGTGTTTCAGTCCCCAGACAGCACCTCTCAATTAGGCCAGGAGAAGAGTTTAAAATGTCCCTGAACTTACCAGTTATGGAGGGGAAAAAAAGAGTCTAATTGCTAAAACCACATGCCAAGACATAAATCTACAGGAATAACTGGAAAGTTAGTCTTTCATCTTTAGAGAGCTTACCAATAAAAAGTCAACATTACTAACGTGTCAGAGACTTCCCTAAACGCACCATTTTGGAGACCTCTTCATAAAGTAACCCCCAGAACTCCTCCTAGGAGCTACATCAGACTCTTGATCACAATTAAGTTTACCAAATGGTGCTGGGAATATCGGTGATGGAAGGAGCAGCTCCTTCGGGGAAGACTTGGGAAGGTAGAAAAGATGGAAGAAAACAGTGAGAGTCACAGGGGCCTTGGAGCTGTGGCACTAGGTCCCCCTTTGGTTCCCTAGGGTTAGGCCAAACCAAGGAATTTCAGTGCCAAGGAAATCTAGGGGCCGGGAATGGAGTGTGCGTGGTTGGTCTTACAGGAGGCTGTCTTCCAAGAAAGGATTTCATGCCACTCAGCCTGGCCGCCCTGCCGAAGCCCCACAGGTATACTGGAGTGTAATCCTCCAAAGGCCAACCTGTGTGAAAGTCTATCTACTGCAGAAACGGTCCCCAGTTCAAATGCAAACACACAAGCAGGAGGGAAACACTGCCAGTGGTGAGTAGCTCCACATCTGTCAGTTTCTCAAATCTTTTCCCAGGGGCACTTCCAGTAGGATGTTTACTGGGGAAAACAGGGAAAGGAATGGTTCCAAGTACAAGATTAAAAGAGGATAGTATTGTATGATATCTGGAGGAGAAATGATGGTGTGAGGAGGGAGAACGACATCAAAGAACACCTGGACTTCTTCATGGTTCCAAATGGCACAAGCCCTATAGGTGATAATCTGGGGACTCGGGCACTTGGGAATCTTAAGTTAGAAAAGACAAATTCCACCAAGATCAGTTCTATTTCCACAGGAGGATGCCACCCAGCGAATCAGTAACATAACCAATAAGGAACTTGAGTTTAGACTAAGATACAAACAGGTGTGGCTAATGGGCTGGTGATGGTAGTTTATCCAAATCTATCACCCACTTAACATTAGGTCTGCATCATTTTCATTTTATCAGCCATGGTTTCAAATCTGCCAGGCTGTGTAGGTACAATTATTACCACCAGGTGGATTCTCTGATTATGAAAGAAAAGGACATTAAGGAAACGCTGGTTTCTAAGCAGTTTCTCACAGCTCATGTTTTCCTGACTTAAGTACCCATTCACTTTTCCCCCCAACAAGCTTTGGAATGATTTAAGGAAAATAAATAGCCACTTCACCACTAAATAATTCCCTAAATTAAATCCACCTCTTTTTCTACTGGAAAAGAATGCCTATTCCTGTTTTTTTCACATTTACACAAAATTAGAGACAATTCTCCATCTGCCACGCTAATGGATCAATAAACAAAAACCCTCCCTCTTGAAGAGTGTCAGCTGCCTCTATCAAAACAAGCATATTGAAATAGGACAGTTAATTAGTAAAAGAATGGATTGATTCACTTTTTACTACCCTTCTGTAGCCAAAAAAAAGTGCTAGTGAGAATGAAAATGTCCAACTGAGCAGCTGAATGGGGGAGGTGGACATAGTGAAGTTTTAAGATCCAGGGGACCCTTGGGGTCTGGGGGCCGGCCACCTGAAGTGTGATGGAAGTCACAGACCTCTGTCTTCCAAAGACACTTTTTTTTTTTTTTTTTTTTTTGCATAAAATGTCAAGAGGTTCATCCTTTGGTGCTCATCTATGGATCCCAGATGCACAGAACCCTTGGTCTCACTTCTAGAATTTACTCAATAATATAACTGACCACAGAGATGTACATCTAAAAACACTCTCTGCCACATCATTTACAACAGCAAAAAAGTGGAACCAACCTAAAGGGCCATCGAGAGGGGACCAATTAGATACAATCATGGCCAGTAACAAGAACGGGATGAATTGATGAGTGTCTCAGAAAACAAAGGCCAAAAATGTGTGGTTAAGTGAAAAACACAAGGTGTACATCAAAGGGCCAAGTATCTCTGCAAAACATAACATTTCTGAAAGGACATAAAAGAAATCAGAAACAGTGTTTTTGTCTAAGATGGAAGCCTGGACCATAATAAGGAATTGGAGGTTGGAAGAAAAATTATTTCTTAATTTTTAATCTATGTTAACTACTTGTTCATTAAAAGAAAGCTAGTTGGAGATAAACAGTTGAGGAGAGAGAGGGAAAAGGTGAGAGAGAGACCAATCATTTTAGAACTTCTAGTCTAGCTAAGTCCCAAAATAGCCCCCGTCTTGAGAACAGCGATGACATAAAACATTTGGCACAGGGACATAAATAGGAAAGTATCTCATAAATGCTTGTCCCAGCTCAGGCTGCTGCCGCTACTCAAAGCAGCTGAAACTTCCTCCCACAGAGCAGCTTTTCTGGCTTGTCCTCTTGCCGGACCAATTATGGGACATTATAGCAGCAGTGCCAATATTATTTTTTAAAGGCTTATGTTGTTCACTAAATACCCATTAAGCCAATCTCCTTGCCCCGTTTACAGCAAGCTTAAGGGCAAATCCAGATGGTACAAATAATGCATATTCTGGCTTGATCTGCATGAGGCCAGTCATCAAATAGCCATCATCAGTGTTAGAGGCCTCAACTGCCTGACACCCCCAGGTGTGTCCAGGGGAGAAGAGAGACCTTTTCAAAGGTGGCTGGACTCTCCCTCTCTTGGCAAACCATCTTCAAACTGCCCCACAGGCTGCATTTGCTTTTATACCTAAACAGCCGCAGCAACCAGGGGTTGCTTGGCAACCTGGTAACGGGCTGTGTCTAGGTGTTCCTGAGCAGAGGAGAGGACTGCATCTCCCTCCCACGTGGCCCTGGCTCACCGCTTCACCCCGGGTGGCCAAGCAGATGCCGCAGTCTTGGGAAACTCTCCTGCACAGCCAACTGCCACTGGCCCTATATTCCCATGGCCCCTTTGGAAAAGGTCTGAGGAAGGGATAACCGCTCTTTACCTTTTCTGATTGACAGGCACTGAACCTCCCCGCTATGGCCTGAAGGTAAGGAGGGAAAAAAGTGAGATAGAATGAAATCTGGCCAACTTTTTCATTCTCAAGAAAGCTCAGAATCAGGACAGGAGTCGTCCAAGGGGCAAACAGGATTGCCACCACAGGACAGCCGGTGAGAAAGAACAGAGCCCTCTGTCCCTGCGTTCCCACACCTCGCTGTGAAAAGCGACGACCTTTACTGGGGGTGCTGGCCCCTCTTAGTCACCAGCCAGTTCTGGATGCTCCAGGAGAAGAATGGCAGACAACAACTAAGTCAGTCTGATTTACGTATGAATAGCACTTGTGATTGAAGGCAGGGGGCAGGTGTTTCGCGCTAAGCCCCTATTGCTTGAGCTCCTGTTAGATGAATTTTTATTTCCTGATTACAGCCCGCGTAGGAAGTCGTGGGAGGCAGTGAGGACCAGCCCAAGTGGAGAAGATATTCGAGTTCCCCATGAATAATTCATGCAGGACATAATCAGAACATAGAAAATTGAGAACTGGCTGCGGCATCGCTGTGACTTTTGTACGCTGACTGGCCCTGAGGTCTAGAGATCCCCTTAGCCTACATATGGTGAAACTATCTAATTGAAATGCCAGCTCGAAAACAGGGAAAGACTTCTCTTCCTCCCTGAAATCCCTCATGTGAAGGCAGGGCCAGTTTCTAGTCTGTTTCTCCCCTGTTCACTCAAGAGAGAGCTCCAAGCAGAGGAGGAGACACCCACTCTCAGCATCCTCTGCACAGTTTCAGGTCCTCAGTCCATGGTCTGCAAAGGAAGTGAGGAGGGTGAGGGGCAAACATTTCACAGCACCTGGGGCTTGCAGGTGAACCGTGGGACTTAAATTCAAAGGAAAAGAAAGGCAGCCCCCTCTCCTTACGCTAATAGGCCCTTAAATTAACCAAATGCCCTGAGTGAGAGATGACTGGGCAATGTGGGGGTGGGGGGTCACTGTCACAGTGAGTCTGGAAGGCAATGCCATCTTCCTAGCACACCTTCGCCTCCTGCTCAGTGGGCCACTGTCCAGTCTGCCCCTTCCCACGGAGGCGATTCGGGAATTGCTATCTAATTCTTCCCAAGGGACACATTCCCTCCAACTTACAAGGCATGACTTGGCCGTGAGTATTTTTAGGTTTTCTGGCTTCAAACTGAATCTGTAAGAGAAATGGCCATAGTTTCTCAGATGAATCAAAAAGATGAACATCACAGACATGGAAAGGGTCACTCAGGGTCCACCAGAGGCAGGGAAATAGAGGGACAAATGCCCATACACTCTAACAGAAATCAGCCTAATCCCAGCAGAGGGGTCTTTGTCCACTGTCCCAGATGGAAAGACAATCAAAAGGCACTGTTACCTCCTGTGCAGCAAGCAGGTGGTTTGGAGAATAAATGATAGGGAGGCCCCAGGGCCAGATGCCAGTTTAGCCCTGTGCAGAGTGGGGTAAGGCACTTGGAGAGACAGGACCCAGTCCCTGGCATTTCCCATCCTTCCTCCTGCCACCAGGCCCCAGTCTATGCTGTCTAGCTCAGCCCAGGGTCTGCAGCAGGGAGCTTGCCTGAAAGAAGCCCAGCTCTACCTATCCGGATGGAAAGTTCGCTCTCAGGGAAGAGCAGCCTGGGACCCTCGGCATCAGACTTCTTCATCAACGCAGGGTCCAAGTGCAGTGCCAGGGCCGTCTGGGGGTCTTCTGCTGCACCCTGAAACAAGAAGCAGTCACTGTAACACCTCTTCTACCTTCGTTCCCCAGACCCCTCCAGCACAGAGCTGTCCGGGCAGCTTGCCAATCTCTTCCAAGAGCACGGAGCCACCGGGCCAGTCCCTGGGACAGACAGAGCTGTCAGCAGGCTGTGTCATTAGGCAGAGGGCAAGCTTTCTGGTTGTAGAACTTCTCGGGTGATGAAAACAGCATCTGAGAGGTCACTGCTGATCCTAGAAATGGGAAAAATGCATCAAAACCCCATTCCGAGGGGCAAATAGCCCCAAAGACTCAGTCCCTGAACTGTCTGCCAAAAGGAGCCCAGGTTCACTCACACGGCAGCCTCGGTACAGGAAGCAAAGTCAACCTTTTTTAGCCATTCACCAGCTTAGTATCTCTCAAGAGACCAAAAGGGAAAGCGATGCAAATAGCAGCAGCTCAAAGGAGGGAACAGCGAGCATCGTGGAGGTCACAACACATGGGAGTTAGGTCCAGATGGCCTTCTAACAACCACGTCACCCTTCTGCTCTGTCACTAATTCGGCTCTTTTTACATTAACCAGGCAGAGTCTTAATTCCGATCCCCACATTTACTGAACAAATACTTATTGACCACCAATTTTGTGGATACTTGACAAACGAAACCAAACAAAGTCCCATCTCTTAGGTTCCGGTTAAGAGAAAATAGATGAATCCAGAACAAGGCTGTGAGCCTGTGCTCCCACGACATCAGCAGGAACCCCCCTGCCCCTGCTCACAGCTTACAAATGCACAGGATCTCGAGGGGAATGAGGAAGGGGGGTGACCCCACCCACACAAACACCTCCACTTTCATCAAAACACCTGGACACTAAGGGAAGGTGATCAGAATCACCTCGATAGGCCTAAAAACAGTGAATATTTTTTGAGAAGCAGGCGAACTGGTTCCAAACAGTAGTTTCCATTTAAAAATATGTGTCTCTAATATGGGAGAAGAGAGGGTGTATGATCCAGGCCCTGAAATGCAGCCACTTACAAGCAAACACTAAAACTGTTTTCTTGGGTAAGTTTCTTACATGACAGAATCTCACAATTATTATGCCTCGCTGTGTTTTACACCCCCACAGGGATCAGAAAGAGAACTGAATGACTCAGACATTTTATTTCATTATTTCTTCCCAACTAATTGTTACAAACAGAAACAGAAACCCTTGTTTCGTCTTCTCATTTGTCCAAGACACTGATGCTGTCCCAATCATTTATTTGCAATGTCCTCTGTAATGCATATAAGGGAAATGACAGCTCATTTAACTTTGTTTTAAAAGGGGAAAAAAGCCTCGCGACGCTCAGGTCCCTCTGTAAAATCCTAGGGGCCGCAGGATGTCACCTGCTCTATCACTGGGAGAAGCACAAAGAGGCAGCCTGTCACACTGTATCACGCTCAAGGTTGACACTACAGATGGACGGAATCCTGGGGACAGAAGGGACTTTAGGAAGGCCAGGCTCCCCCCATGCAGAAACCCCCTTTAAGTACCCCGAGTGACAGCTGGTGTCTGTGCCATGTGCCATATAGTCGCAGCTCTTTGTTGGTTTATGTGCTTTAATTATTTCTAATCCTACATCTCATGCTGACATCTGAGGAATCACTGCGGCAATAAAAGACGTGCTTCTCTATGAGAGCATGTCAGCTGATCTTCCTTCATCCTCCTTCTTTTTATAATGTGATCGATGCGTAACTGGGGGAAGGCTACGGGAAGAGAAGCACTTCATTACAGCAAAACGCAGCAGCATTAATGTGCTCAAAGCTGTTTATTTGACTAGAGCCATTTACTAAGAAGCAGCCTGGAGAGATACTGCTTTTAATTGACAACAGTGGTTTTCAGCTGTGGTAACTTTGCCCCCACCCCTGTCACCACTAGGGGACACCTGGCAACGGGCATTTTTCTATGGGGTGCAGGGGAGAGGGCGCTACTCTCATCCAATGGATAGAGACCAGGGAAGCTGCTAAACACCCTACAGTGCACAGGGCAGTCCCCCCAACAAATGACCGGCCGCATGTCAGCAGTGCTGAAGTTGAGAAGCCCTACTTTAGAAAGATTTAGGATGCTCAGGACCCCAAAACCCCTGTATCATTGGTAGGGCTGGGAGCTCACGGACCCTCTTTTTACTTATAAAGGTAAGACTTTTGTCACTCTAGGAAGCCTGCCAGCCTTCATGTTTTTGGCAAATTCTTATTAAGCATCAGAACTATTCCAAGTTCCGGAAATACAGAACAGCCCAGTCCCCGTCCCCATGAATCCTGTATTCTCCTTCCAAAGATAGACAATAAACAGACAACAAATTACAAATGAGAGCACCAGGTAGTGACAGCGCTAAGAAGAAAAATAAGCCATAGCCATAGCGATCTAGCTGTCCTAGTAGAAAAGTACTATGTTCTAGGTCCCAGCATTTCACATGCGCAGCTCATTACAAAATGAGGCAACGGAATGCTCCTTTGGGTAATATGCCAGGGGGGAGGACAGTGTTGGAGCAAACGTGAAAGTCAGGGGAAGAGCCACAGTGACTTCTGAGGACAGTGTTTAAGGCAAGGTACAGAACAACCATTCCCCTTCCTGCCACAGTCTTTTACCATTTTATCCATCTATGTTCTGTTGGTTGTTTTGCTTTATTTCAGTGCTGGTGTTGAGGGTATATTAAGGAAATCCCATCCCAACTCCACTTAGAAGCTGCCCTTTGAAAATCAAGACAAAAACCCAGCATCACCCCCTGGACCCACCCTCTCCTATGCGCTGGATCCCACGTTCAGCAGGGAGGGCCCAGCTGTGCAGTTAGGGGCTGCAGGGAGCATGTGGACAGATGCTATAGACAGCTACTGTACCCCACGGCTGGCAAAGCTCTCCCCACATACTCTGAGCCCTGGCCATGCTCGGCCAGCCTCCCAGGGCTCCATTCCAACTCCCTTCTGGGATTCCCAGCATGCCCACTCTGCACTCTCAACTGCTGATGAGGAAATCAGAGAACTGCGTCCCTTGATGTCAAGGAATCGTCAGTGGGATATGCCTCCACCTGCAGGAAACACCTGCAGGGCCAAGGTGGCTCTCACCCTGCACGGATGCCACCCCTCACTCTGTGGAGCCCCCTCTGTAGGTGGAGGGGCCACATTTCTTCACTGAAGCCTTAGACACACACGGACTTACCCTGTGCAGGAGTGACTGAGACCTCGGGGAGAAATCCCTTCTCTACATCCTCCTGCTGCTTTGCTGATGGCAGCTCACCCTTCTTTACTTGATATTATCACTTTCTTACATTTCTGGGGCTTTTTTTTTTTTTGACCTCTGCGAAGCTTCTCCATTCACACCACCTCACTCAACCCACACAGCCCCATGAGGACAGCAAGGCGAGAGCATGAACTCTTCCGGGGCGGATGTTTGACTAGCGCAAGCTTTCCTGACTTCCCCGGCAGCTCTCAGAGCCTGCCCAGCTGCCCCTGGGAGGGGTCTTGAGTCACTTTCTGCTCCCACCCTGGGGCTTTGGACAGTTCAGGGTGGCTGTGTCACCTTGCACCTCCCAAATGTCAAGGTGCCAGATATATAGGCTCCTTCCCAAGCTAGCCATCTCCCTTTCTTTCTGCACCACACCCTCCCCCAGGTCTTTTCCCCCCCTGCCCCCATCCATCCCCACCCACTCCTCCAAATCCAGCCAGTACAGCGAGGAGGCTGCTGGGAGGCACCAGGCCACACCCATCCGGGGCCGCGGAACTTGACATCATTGCCCTCTTGGGACAGGGAGTTTGGGGCAAGTCCCTGGGACTCAGAAGAAATTGAGCAATTTCTATCAGCTCTGGAAAGGCCATGCAGATGGGCAGGAGCTGGAGAATAATTAGCACCTCCCCAAAGGAAAGGGAAAGAGTGGAGAGAGAGGGGGAAAGATAGAGGAAATAAAGTGAGAGGGGGCGAAGGGGAAGGCGGAAGAGCAACCCAGAAATATGCCTTACAGGAAATCCAAAGGGCTCTTAAAATAACACCACATCTCTCTCGAAAAATCCAGTCTGGGTGCTTTCATCAGGGTTTGCTGCCCCAGGCACCAGGAGAAGGGCGGCTGGCTCCTGATGTGTCTGGAGTCACAAAAGGAAAAGCCTAGAACACAGCCAACAGGACACAGCCACATCCAGAAGTGGTCTACAATGGCAAAGGACAGCCCCATGCAAAGCGCAACCGAGTGAGTGCCATTAGATGACAAAGCTCTGCCGGCCCTGCGCCCCTAAATCTCAGGTGTTCACTCCTAATCCCAGCAGCAACCTCCTGTGTGTCCCCCTGGGCCACTTCTTCCCCCACTGGGATGCCGCTGCTCTCAGGGGAAGCAAAGCTGACCAACCCGGCGTGCACAGGGGACAGGCCTGACCTTCCCCTCGGCCGGGCACACCTCCTGTCATGCTCACTCCAGCCGGGGACCTCTGCGATCACTCTGAGCTTCCTGGGCCCCGTGGAGGGTAGTTTACTTAATTGAGGTCTGTTAGCAGGTCAAAATTCCCTGATGAAGGGCCAAGGGAAAGGTCAGAGGATTAATTGGTGTCCCCTGCCAGCCACAGCTAAAGCGAGGCCCAAGTACTCCTCAGTGGAGAAGGGAAGGAGGATTTCAAGAGCGGTCACATGCACACCCTACCCCCCACCCCCACCCCCCGCCACCCCCACTCCACCCAAAGCACTTAGAAACCTGGAGCCCTGGGAGGGCTTTGCCTCCCTCCTCCCTCCCCAACCACCCTCTGTGTCTCTCGCCATCCACACTTAACCCAGACACATGAGGTGACATTAAATAATTGATGCTGTTTTTATTACTGAAAAATTGCAATAATAATGACACTTGTAACACAATCTTAAATTATGCCACATAATGGAAAAAAAAATTAAATGTCGTCCCTTATCACCAGCCAGAATATGGATGAAGCTTACATAATAGATGACCTTCTGTCCCGGGGAGCCCGGCAGCGGCCTGCTGCCCAGAGCCAGGCTGGCTCAGGGTGACA